ATATATATATATATATATATATATATATATATATATATATATAGTAATGATTAGAGATGCAAACGGGGACGGATATTAGCGGATACTGCAATACCCGCCCCCGTACCCGAACTCCAATCCCCACACCTGTCCCCGCCTCCGCCCCGCATAATCCCCGACGGGTTTGGTTGAAAAAATATCCGTCGGATACGGGGAACCCGATGGGTACCCGAAATATATTATGTTTATTTCTACAAGTACAACTATTTATGTTTCTAAAGGTATGTTAAGTTATCACCATATTTTAAAAGCAATTTTTCATATACATTTTATGAAATTAGTTGCACTTTTAATCGTATATATTGGAAATTGCTTAATTCACTTTGAATTTATTTCCCTTTTAGCTTCTTATTAGAATTCTTTTAACGACAAATAAAGGTTTTATAAGATATGGAAGATTGGAAAATTTTATCAACTAATATTTTGTTTTGAATTTATAATATAAAATAATTAATAGGCAATAATTACTTGCATGAAAATGTGCAATGATTTTAATACTTTAAACATCGTTCCAGTTTTCAATACTTCAATTATGCATTTATACACAATTATATACATTTTGGAGTGTGACTGTGAGTTGCGAAGAACGAAGAATAATCGGAACAGGGATTAACTTATCCCATTCAAATGGTCCGTCATCGACAACATAACCCGCCAATTCTAATCGTTCACGTATCATACGTACCGAAAACCTCCCGTCACATATGAAATCAGAAACCCAACAACGGTCGATCGAATTCCACGCAACTATTTCTTTTGGATCGATGTTATACTGCATCAAACGGTTACAAGTTTTTGTAATGTTTTTCCATACCCCTGTGTTGAATTTGTTAGCAAAAACAGACCAATGTCTCCCGTCTAACTTATGTATACATCGAATGACTTTTGACCACATAGAGGAATCATCAGATTTCAAACGCCACATCCATTTAGCCAACAAGGAAATATTCAGGGCCTTAATAGACCCCAGCCCGATGCCTCCCACCTTTTTTGGAGCTATTATCTTGTCCCATTTCACCCAAGAGATACTTTTCTTATCATACTCTCTACACCAAATGAATTTAACAAATATATAAATATGAATTCAAGTCTTGCTTCAAATTACCAATTATTAAACACCAAATACAATGCCACACGTACGCAATACACCAATCAATTTTATTAAAATCATAAATACGTTAACACCATCTTTTTCACGTATACAATATATAAATATGAATTCAAGTCTTGCTTCAAATTACCAATTATTAAACACCAAATACAATGCCACACGTACGCAATACACCAATCAATTTTATTAAAATGATAAATACGTCAACACCATCTTTTTCATGTCAACAAGATAAAATAATACTATTGTTTCAACAAATATTTTTTTAACTTACCTCAAGGACTATACAAGCAACTCTACAAAAGTAAAGGGTGCCAAAGAGTAAACAAAGAAATTCACCAGTTCTTCAATCACCACCACCATGGTGGCCGGATTCTTCCATCATCGCCACCAATTCCACCCATCAATATTTCAAGGTCAACGAATGAATTTGACCAAAGTTTTTATTTAATCCCAATGTGTTTTTGTTTTTTTTTGTTTTTATGGCATTGTGGTATCCTTATTTGCAATTCCAGGAACTTTGAATTTTGGATTCTGTTCAATAAAAGCAGGTGGTCTTTTGTACACAATGGATGCGGCTCTAATTAAAATCCCAGCAGTGAGACCCCAAATTAAATAACTTTTTCCATTTATTTTATAGTCAAAGTAATGAATTAAATACGTGTCTCCCATCCATTCACGCTCTTCGGATCTTCGATTTTCATCCTGAATTTTAAAATTTGTATTTGTGTGAAGAAATTTAGGAAAATAAAAAAGTCAAACTCTACATTGAAATTTGAAAAAGTTGGAACTTTTTTGAGATATGTATGAGAATTTATATGGAGAATGAGCAAATAAACATAGGGTTAATCTGATAAAAGACCTTTTTTTTCTCATTTTTTCTGAAAAAACCCTCAACTTTGTCTTTTTTTTTTTTTTTAAAAAAAAAACCTTAGCCTTTTAAATGTTTCCAAATAAATCCTCAACTTTTTTTGTTTTTCCTGAAAAAACTCTACATTTTACAATTTTTTTAGGGAAATTGTTAGAAAAGTCCCAATATTTTTGGAAAAGTTTCACTTTAGTCCCAAAAAAAAATTTCAACATAAAATCCCGATTATTTCATTTTGGCTAAAATTAACAAAAAATTCCTTTTTTTTTTCTTTTAACAGGAAATGACATATTATTTTTTTTCTAATAAGAAAAAATAATTGTAAGCATAGTGTTAAAAATTGGGTGTATTTTTCAAAATGCAATGTCTTAAAATGAACAAAATTGAAAACAAAATAATGTAATAGAAAGAAAGAAAGTAGAATGCTATAATACATAAATAAATAAAAGTACATTGCTATTTCTTGCATTTAGGCCTAAAATGTAAACATATTCAAAGTGTGAGGTTTGAATTGGATATTAAATATTACCTTTAAGAACATTTCTAAAGGAGCATCAAAGACATCATCTACTTCATCAACATTAGGAGTTGGATTGAATGCACTTCTATCAGACAGTATGCCAATTACAGGAATTACTCGTAGAAGATGCTACAAACAAAACCATTATATTTTTAGCTTTTAGTTACACTTAAATATCATAAAAAACACACCATTTTTACAAAACTCACAATATTCATCAAAGTAAATGACCATTTTACCCTTACATTCCAAGAAAAAAAAAAAACTAAATGACCATGTTTACCTTTATTAAGCCATGTTTCTATTATGACAATTTATGTGAGTGACAATTTTACCTTTACATGGCGCCATTCATCAAAGTAAATGACCATTTTACCCTTACATCAAAGTAAATGATCATTTTACCTTTACAAATAGAAACATGGCTTAATCTAGGAGCATCAAAGTGTTATTGTTATATATATATAATGCATGTTTCATTTCTAAACCGAACGTCTGAATGAAACTAAATGACCATTTTACCCTTACATTAAAAAGACATAAATTTCATGATATTCATCAATTTTTAGCTTTTGATTACCTTGGACAAAAATGGCTCAAGAACAGCTACAACATTTACAAGTGAAGGATTGAGTCCTATCTCTTCTTTTGCTTCCCTTGTTGCAGTGTAAGCATCATCTGTATCATCTTCCTCTGCTTTCCCTCCAGGCAATGAAACTTCCCCTGAACTCATAACTTAAGGCTTAAATGACCATTTTACCCTTTCACACTATTCATCATTGGTTTGTTTATTATTATATTTATATTTATAATTATAATACATATAGTACCCTATTTTCTCAGTTCTTTCTAAAGAAATGATATAATCTGGCAGATCTTTCAAAATGCAATTCCTTAATAAGAAGAAAGTTGAAAGTAAAAGGTTGTAATAGAAAGAAATGAAAGTAGGATGCAATAATACACAAATTAATGAAACCATAGTTGATATTTCTTGCATGTAGCTACAAAAGTTAATAATTAGATATTTTGTAATACTATTTCAATAAAGCTATTAGTTAGAAAATGACACAATTTGTAATGTAATTTACAAAATTGCCCCAATCGCACATTTACAGGGCTCAAATCGCATCATTAAATAGGTGTTCTATTTATGGATTATGGATTACCTCGCATAATGTTTGATTGATTTTGTGTTTGTCTTCTTCTTTTAGAAATTTGTAACATTTTACTATTTCACACACACAGTTGATATAAAAACCTCATATCGTGAGTATGATGAAAAATACCCAATTCACTTGATCAAAAGCCAAACCGAAAAGATCATTGCATTCTAGAAATGCCCAATTACGCCTCTCAATATTTATAGTTAATGGAAGTAATAAACCCTAAAATTGAAATTATTAATCAATTCAATTTCTAGGTCTTCGTTAACAATTTCGCAAATTGGTCATTTGAAGACTACTAGAGCAGGATGTACCTGAATGTGTAGAGAGAGTAGAAGATCTTTTAGTAAGAATCACACGAAGATCCTCGCCACTACCATCGTTATTCCCTTCAAAAAGGCAGATCAAAACAGCAGCTCTTTTAGGTCTAAATCTTTCCGAAGGCCGATTCCCAACTGGGGTTGCAGATTCCGCAAAACCCACTTGAGAAACGACTTCGTCATCATCCTCAGCATCACCCGGCGGCGGCTTGTAAAGGCGGAGCTGCTGAGCTAACACCGATAACCTCGACGAACTCCCGTTGTTGTTGATCGACGCCATGTTGTTGAGCCTAGAAAGGGGAGCAGAGTAGGATAACGGTGATGTTGTTGCGATAGATAGCGATGATATCCTTCTCAATAGGAAGAGCATGTGATCTACTTACTAATTACTAAATTCCTAGTTAGAATCGGATAGCAAGTTATCGTTAGATCATTGCCTAAAATGGAAGTTCGTATAGAGCAGGATTAAGAAGTCGCATCATAAGAGGATTCATTACCCAGAAAATTGACGGGCTTTTAACGGCGAGTTGGGTCACTAACTCAATAGAACAAACTAAATATTTTACATTTCTACAAAAAAATAAAAAAATATTAAATCGGGCTTTGTATACATTTTCATCAATGTCGGTTTTCTTCTTGAAGATCCATTTAAAACCTAATGTGTTAAAGACCATGTGTTGGATCAACCAAATTCCAAACTTGGTTATCCATCATGGACTGAATTTCGTTGTCCCTTGCCTCTTTCCATTGGGCAGTCTCAGGGTCTGCCATCGCTTCCTTGTAGTTAGCTGGCTCATCCAGATTTATTAGTGTCCTGCCACTAATAAACGTGTTTCCTTCCGTCGTTACATGGAAACAATAAAACTTGGATGGTTGCTAACTCTACCGGATATGCGAAGAGGTAATGTTATGTCATTGGGCTCAACAGGTTGCTCAACCTCTGGTAGAGTGCTCGTGTTAACTAAAGATTCATTCTTTATTGGCTCTTGAATCTTTTCAAGGCCAATATGATTCCCACTAACTTCTTAAGACATAAGGTCTCTCTCAAGGAACACTCCTCTTCGAGATACAAATACCATGTTTTCACTGGGTCTGTAAAACAAATATCCAAAAGCCTTTTGTAGATAACCAACAAAGCGAAACTTCTCAGTTGGAACAAGGTTTAAGATATGGGCTGTTGTAAAACAAATATTCAAATATCATTGGGTCTGTAAACAAATATCCAAAAGCCTTTTGAAGGAACTTTTCCTGTCCACATCTCATGAGGTGTCTTTGAAACCTTCTTAGTTGGAACAAGGTTTAAGATATGGGCTGTTGTTTCAAGTGCATAACCCTAAAAGATGATTGGTAATGAAGCCTGACTCATTATAGATCGAACAATATCCAACAAAGTCGATTTCTTTTTCCAGCAACACCATTAAGTTGTGGTGTTCTTGGAGGAGCCAATTACAAAACTATTCCATAATCTATAAGATGATCGTTGAACTCGATACTAAGGTATTCCACTCCTCCTTCAGATCGACGAATCTTAATCTTCTTGCCCAATTGATTCTTTACTTTGTTTTGAAACTATTTGAACTTTTCAAAAGTTTTTGACTTATATTTAACCAGATAAACATACTCATATCTACTGAAGTTATCTAATAAATGTAACGTAGTAGTGTTTACCTTCCCTTGTGGCAAATATGAAGGGTCCACACATGTCAGTGTGTATGAAATCCAACAATCCTTCACCTCTTTTACAAGTCCCCGTGAAGGATGAGTTATTCATCTTGCCTAATAAACAAGACTCACATACATCATCCGATTTTAGGTCGAATGATTCCAAGATTCCTTTCGACTGGATCTTGGCGATGCGTTCCTTATTTGGGTAAATGTTACTATAGCCCAATCAACTATCGTCATTTATCCGATTTGGTCACTAAAATATATTTTTTTTTCTTAATAGGTCATTAAACTTACAACTTACATGTCTATTAAGTCACTTTCGTTAGTTTTTAACAGATTCTCCGTTAACCGGTTATTATAATTTACAATAATGGTCCATATGGTGTCAATTTTTTTTGTGGTTGGTCCTTTACTAGCATCATTCATTACCTGCACCACCACCGTTCACTTCTGGCACCCACCAACGTTCATCTCGAGCAACCCCCACGATTTTTGATTTAGATTTTAGTTTACTTGTCGATTTGAAGTAAAAATATGATACATTTGGTAGAAACTCCAACCACTTAAATTTCTTAAATCGACCAAAGAATATGCTAGATCACTAAAAAGGGTCATCGTAGAAGTTTGCAAACTGCATTTAATATTATTTGGTGAAATAATTGCATTAAAAATGGTTAGTTTCTAATATGGGGTTCTTGTCACAAATAAAAATGTATACGTTGGTAGTCAGTGAACTGCATTTAGTGTTGTATGAAGTAACAATTTCATCGGATAATCCAATTCAAATAAGCATGTCATGTATATACTTTGTGAATGTAAGGAGTATTGATGAATTCACTGTAAGAAAAAGTTAACTCACGAATATCTTATTGGTAATTAATTTCTTATTTAGCAAATAGACATTGTTTCACTTTCATTCAATGTTGATTCTGTACATATATATATTTTTAAAGAAATACATTCTTTAAAATTGAAACTCGCTGAAATTATTTTTTTATAAAAAATTAAAATCGATTGAAATTTTTTTTGTGAGTGATCGTATGTTAGAATAATGGTTAACGGGGTTGCCCGAGGTGAAGGGTAGTGGTTGCCAGAATTAAACGGTGGTGATGTCGATGATGAACTGTGCTGGTGTGGGACCAACCACTATTGGAACCTGAAAAGTGAACCTCTAGCAATCCTAAGTCAGGTTCCGAAGTACTTGTGTTCCGGAGTGAATGTTCCGGAGTCAGTGATGAAGAGTGGTCCGGAATCTGTCCGGACCAAATGAGAAGAAGATACGAAGTTGAAGGCATTCCGGAATGACTCTCATGTCCGGAATGGTTGCTGATCCGGAATGAAGCTATTTTGTCTTTTGTACATTTATTGTATTTGTCTTTGTATTGATGTGACTTTTCATAGGACTTAGTCTTTTGTTCTATTTAGACAATCACAATGTCAGAGACATTTCTATTGTCCGGTCCTATGAAAGTGTTATAGTTAATTCGATGTAACCATCACTCCTATTTATAGGAGTATTCAATACAAGTCAATAACGGATCTTTTCACTCACTTTTGGCATTTTCACTAAGTTCATTCAAACATTCTTCTTGTTCTTCATTTATTAGCTTTACCTTGATCGGTTATTCTCGTTGTTCATTAAATGACTTGATCATTTGCTGAATACATCATCTAAGACTTGACTGGTCTTTCCAGACTTGACTTGAACATTTATTAGCAAGCAGACATTGATCTTAAGCATTCACTCAAGGTTTGAGTTCTCAAACCTTGTCCCTGCACATCATATAGATCTTGTTCTCACAATTGGTATCAGAGCTTGAGTGGTTGTCCTTTGAATCCATAAAGATCAGATTATAGTTGGTTTGAAATTACCTTGGTACTTCAACCATTTCTGTGTCAAGGATAAAAGTTCTTCTATATACCACTTTAGCTTGAAGATATCTTAACTTCAATGGCTGCTTCTAATCCTCAGCAAATGATTTCAATGCAAATCGCAAATAGTGTGGATGGCCCTACTCGTGCCCCATTACTAGTTGTGGAAGAATATGATCACTGGAAAGTTAGAATGGAAAGATTTTTACTTGCCAAAGATAAAGGTGAAGAAATCTGGAGATCCGTCACAAAAGGTCCCTATGTTCCTGTAAGAACAATTGTAAGAGATGCAGCTGCTCAGCTCATGAGAGAAGATGAAAGTCTCGCCCAGCTCCTCTTACTGCAGATGATATCGAGAAGCTTCATGCTGATCAAGTTGCTTTCTTAGAAATGGTGTTTGGTGTCTCTCTTTCACTCTTCGAGCACATCAAGTTGTGCAAATTAGTCAAAGAAATTTGGGACACTCTTCAGGACCTAATTGAAGGCTCCGAAAATATGAAAGACAAGCGCCTCACCTCTGTTGTCAACGGCTTTGACACCTTCACTACTGTGACAACCCGAAATTTCCATTTGAACAAACTCTACCGTCTAGCACTTCAATTAAAAGTCAAATTCTT